CTATGCAATGTTAAGCTATGTTATGTCATGCTGCGCTGTGCTATGCTAAGCTATGGTATGCTATACTATTCGAAGCTGCGCTATGCTATGCTATGCTATGCTATGCTATGCTGCGCTGTGCTATGCTGTGCTGTACTGTGCTGCGCTATGCTATGCTATGCTATGCTGCGCTATGCTATGCTATGCTGGGCTATGTTATGAGCTGCTGTGCTGCGCTATGCTATGCTACACTATGCTATGCTGTGCTCTGCTATGCTAAAGCACAGCAAAGCTAAGATGAAGGTAAGTTAAGCTAAGATACACCTGAGCTAAGATGAAGCTAAGCTAAGGCTAATATGAAATAAGCTAATCTAAGATGAGATAAGCAACGCTAAGCTAAAGGGACGCAACTGGGGGAACCGCGGGGCGGATCCTGGGGGAACCGCCCGGGCCGGTTCCCACTGCCCGGCCCCTTTAAGCCCACAGAGTAAGAACCCTTCTATGCAGAGCCTAGGTAGGGAATAAGGAGCGAGGCCCCGTGTCTCCAGAAGTTGAAAATTCGACTTCCCATCGAAGACCTAATGAACACCTAGAAAGCAAACTGTGAGACAATCAAGGAACACCGAGACCCTCCCCAACGAAAAGGGTTCCTTCTTCAGCGCCTCGACTGTAAGACCTGACCATGCCCTGGACAACATCGGACATCGGACATCGGGCGGGACCGTGCCTGGGACAGCATCGTACATCGGACATCAGGGCTGAACCTAAACGGTGCTTTTCGTTTCCGTTTTGTTTTCGTTTTCCCTCGCTTTTGTCTCCGATCCCCCTCTGCTGCAAAGCGAAGTCGAAACGAAAACGGCCCACGAAATCATCAAAAACACCGTTTAGGTCCAGCCCTGTCGGACATCGGGCGGGACCATGCCTGGGACAACATCGGACATTGGGGATGGCCTAAACGGGAGGTGCAGAAAAGAGCCCCAAAGGGGCCCTTTAGGGGGTGTTCTTCACCCCCCATGCAGGTCACCCCCCACTGCCACGCGTCCGAGGACAGGGACACATCGGGGACAGGGATAAATCGGAGGATGTAGCAGCGCAGGCCTCCTGGATCGGGTTAGGGTGGATGGGGTCGACAATGAATTACCGATGTCTCGGCGATGCATCGGCGAGGTCGGCGACGTATCGGCGACGTCATCGTGGAGAAAATCAGGCTCCACATCGATCCGCATCATCGATACATCGGCGATGCGTCGCAGTCCTCCGACCCCATCTACTCGGACCCCGTCTCGGAGGCATAGACGAGGCCAGGACAGGGACAACTTGAACAAGGATACACCGGAGATCTCTGAGATCCGACGGTTCTGGAGGGTGTATCGGCCGCCGCAGCCTTCTCAAAGCGTTCGGGAACGGTCCGAGAGCGTTCTGAAACGTCCACAACGACTTCTCCTTGCCCTAGCCCGCCCGATGAGATCTAGGCGCTGCGATTATATCTCACAGCGGGCGCTTTCGCACTGTTTCTGGCACTGGGGCCATCATACGTCGATCTGGCTTGAAAAATGCGGCGCAGAGATGTTGCTCCAGGTTTAGGGCTCTGGTCGTGATGTTCACGATGCTGCAAGTTTTTCATGACGCTGGATCTCGGGGCCCAGAGGGCCTCCGGAGGGCTCCCTGTAGGGCCCTCGAGGAGACTGTATTTGGGACCCCGGCAAGTTTGATTGCATGGAGGTGGAAGGGGGCAAAGCTTAGTGTGCCCCCTTCCACAGGAAGTCTGATCGGATCCGGCGATCGAAATGAATCGGATCGGCGGCAACCGACAGCCGAGTCGGGAGACGCCGAGTCGGCGGAAATCGGCAAGCTGGCAGGCCGCCACACAGAGATCGGAGCCCAGATCGGAATCCGAAGTCGTGTCGGGTCGGAATCGGAGTCCTTCGAAATCGCACCGAATCGAAGCGGAAGAGTCTAAAAGGGGCCCAGAGATGAGGGTGAAATGGGATGGAATGGAACTCAGCAAAAACAAAAAAACGAAAAGGAACACGGCCGGCTCGGCGCTCCCGCCAGGGCCGCTGAGAGGCTAGCCCCCGCGCGTAGCCTCAGCTAACTATACTCCTCTATGTCGGAACCGTTTCTCTACCGGGCCCTGAGATAGGTCATGGGCCTGTTTTCCACCACCACCACCACCATGAGTTGGAGGGGGGAAGGAGGTGGAGGAGGAGGAGGACGAAGAGCAGGAGGAGGAGCAGGAGGAGGAGGATCAGGAGGAGGAGGATCAGGAGGAGGACGACGAAGAGCAGGAGAAGCAGGAGGAGGAGCAGGAGGAGGAGAAGGAGGCGGAGGAGGAGGCGGAGGAGAAGGAGGCGGAGGAGCAGGAGGAGGCGGAGGAGGAGGAGGAGGAGGAGGAGCAGGAGGAGGAGGAGGAGGAGGAGGACCCCCCCTACGTACCCCTCCTACTTATGGTGGTGGTGGTGGAAACCACGCCCGCCAATGGGGGCGGAGCTGGCCGGGAGCGGGGCTCCCGCGGGCGAGCCGAGGGCAAGCCGCCCCTCGACGAGCGGGGCTCCCGCGCGGGGCCGCGCCGGGAACGTCCCAGCAGACACGCTCGGGGGGGTCCACGGGTCTTGGTCGGCGGCGAGCGGGGGGGAGGGGAGAGCGAGAAGCAGAAGGCCCTCTCCTCCAGATTCTTGTTGGAGTTGCCCAGACGTGGAGCGCAAGCTTGTCGAATTCTCCTCCTCCAGGGCGTCCAGCGACAAGGGGGTGATGCAATAGATTTGGTGCAATATATCCGTGGTGTTGCAATAGATTTGGGACGTGCAATACATTCTGGTGCGCAAATGTATTGCTGGGTTGTTGCGTGCAGTCCATTAGTTGCAATACTACGCAATACCATTCGCAATACATTGCAATCCAATTGCCCTCAATCAATTGCACCCCCTTTTGGGCCACAAGGATTCTCATAAAAGGGGGCAGGGCGGGGCCAGGCCCGGGAGGGAGTCTGGCCGGGCCTCCGGAGGGCCTCCCCAGGCCCTCCTCCTCCCCTGACGCCTGCTGGCTGGCAGGCGGCGGCATCCGAGCCCCGCCCCCACCAACCATCGGCTCTGGGCGCGACTTAAAGGGGGGGGGCATACGTAGGTGGGGGGGCCTACAGGCCCCTCTGGGGCCCAAAAGGGGCCCTTAAGGGCCCTAAAGTCCCCTGGAGGGCCCAAGAGGAGCCCTAAAGGGCCCCCCTGGGGCCCAAACGTTGGGTAGGGCATGTCCCCCTACAGACGGATTTTGGAAGAAAATTGAAAAAAAATCGTCCCCAGACTATTTTTTTATTACTTTGGAATAATCCTCCTGTAGAGGGACAGGCCCGACTTTACCCTAAAGGAGCCCTGAAGGGTTCTGAAGGGCTCGGAAGGGCCCCAAAAGGAACCTAAAGGACCCCATTCCGGCATTCTGAGAGAGGACTTCGGATCTGACGCCTTCTGGGAAATCTCCGGCGCCCTCCCGTTCCCGCTTCCCCCCCGGGGCGCGCCGGCGAAATGAATGGGTGGGGCCAGCTCAGAGGGGGGGGGAGATCGAGCCCGAATCACCGACAGGGTGGCCCCCAACCATCGATTCTCCTGAATCGCTGGGAGGCGGGGGCAAGGTTCGGATGTGGCCAAGCCGCGACCGCAGCCCCGGCTGGAAGCCGAAGACCACGGCGAAGAATCGCCATAGTTTCTGCTCTCAGCCGCGGCCGCAGATGCAGCTGTAGTTCCAGCCGCGGCCGCCGCGGCCGCGACTAGAACAAAGAAGCCACCGCGGAACATCGCGATAAGTCCTCCTCCCAGCCGCGACCGAGAGAGCAAACCACCGCGAACAGATCGTTCGACGAATTCCGAACCCTACCCCCGCCGCCCATCGAGCTGCCTGAGTCGAGCATCGGCGAGGGCGGGGCTCGGATTTCGCCGACGATACCAGCGGGTGGCTGCTTTAGTGATCTTGCCGAGGGATCCAACAAATATCCATGAACATCAACTGCATGAGCTCCGCGCGGACTTCTTGTATCGGCGCTCGACCCCTGTGGCGGCGCCTTCGGCGACTCCGGCTCTGAGGGCCAGCGCTCCAGCGCAGATCCAAGACATTCTCAAAGGTTGTGGAGGCCGGTCCACAAGAAACCTTCCACAAGAAAACCAACCCTGAGACCCCAAAACGTCCATCGATGTTTGGTGTGGGAACGTCGCGCTTTCCGCAGCCAAGCAATCGAAACCCAAGAAACCCAGGGCACAGGGGAGGCAAGCAGGTGTCATGGGTCCCAACTGCATGACATGTGTTACTTGTTTCAAGATCCGCTTAGCCCCCGAATCGCACCAGCCCCACAGGGCCCCTTCTTCATCATTGCTCCCTGTAAAGAAACACCCCCTCCCCCAGGCGACCGGGGCCAACCTGGACCAAGGTTAGGTCGGGTATGTCCCCGTACAGGGGGATTTTGGACGAAGAACTAAAACTACCAGCAACAATACTCAAAAATAAATATAAAAAACAAACATGCTACAACACATCGTCCTCAGACTATGTTTTGACTATTAAAAACGATTCCTCCTGTAGAGGGACGTACCCGACTTAGGACCAATGTGGCCCCCTCCACCGTCCCTTGTCAAGAAACGCTGCGACATGCTACTTGCCTCTAAACATCTGGCGTGCGCGCGGGCGCCCCGCGGCCATGCTGCATTTTTTTTGGCGGTGCGGCACGTTCCTTCTGCGGCGCGCAGGCCAGACACCTCTGTCAGAAGAGCAATACAATTAGGTCGAGCGTGTCCCCCTACAGGGGGATGTTGATGGTAAGTTGTAAAGTTCGAAACATACGCAGATGTTATCAAATGATATCAGAAAAAAACCCAATCAGAATTTGGGGGGGCTATGGGGCTTTAGGGCTTTAGGGCTATGGGGCTATAGGGCTATAGGGCGCTATAGGGCTACAAGGCTACAGGGCTATATACTGCTATAGGGCGTTAGGATCATAGGGCTATAGGGCTATAGGGCTATGGGGCTATGTTGTTTTTTTTTTTTCTTCCGCACGCGGCTGGCAAAACATCACGTCGATCACGCGCCGCGCGGGAGCGCGGACGACGACATCTCGCGCGCGGCTGCGCTGCAACGCGCTGCCCGCTCTGCAGCGCAGCCGCGAGAGATCGGGAAACCCCAGTGCTATGCAAACGCGAAACTTGCGAGCAGCGCGGCTCTGGCGGGCGCGAAGCCCTAAAGAACTATTGGCGAGACGTGGCTCCCCCCTCCCTCTCCCTGATTGTCACTTCGGTGTGCATGCTTGTGCCGCTTTTGCTCGGGCCCGACGGCGGCGCGTTGGCGCCGCGAAGGACGCGAGAAACTTCGACGACGACGACGATCACGGATGGCTCGACGACGACGCCGAAGGCGCAGGCGTATCGATGATGTGCGAACACTGAGTGGGGAATCAACTTGACTCGGAAGCGCTTGAAGAAACTTTGGCTGTACTGTATCATTCGGGTCCGACGGCGGCGTGTTGTCGACGCGACGGACTCACGAAAGCTGCGCCTTATTATCAGCTCTCCATGTTGTTGGCCTGCAGCGGGGCTGCGACGAGCTCGCGGGACCCGTGCGCGTGCAGGTCCGCCGACATGTCGTCCGCCTGGGACATCATGTCGGCGCACAGCTTGTCGAAAGACGAAGCCGAGATGAGGTGGCACTTTCGGTCGACCTGCCAGGTGATGGGAGAGTACGCGGAGCACATCTCGTTGTTGACGGTCGTGCCGGTCGTCGAGCCCGTGTAGTAGGCGATGTCACTGCCAAGGCCGCTGCTGGGCTCCACGATCATGCCCTTCATCATGTCGGGGTAGTAATAGTCCTCGTCGTTAACGATGACAAAGACCTGCCCGTGCACTCCGACCTTGTCCTGGAGTGGGGACAGCTGGACGGTGGCCGCATTGCAGAACACGCCGTCCAGGAAGGGCGTCTGGTACTGGTATGGAGTGCCGCAGTCGCCAGCGGCCGAGTGCGGCCAGTGAACCTCGTAGGTCTGCCCGACCTGCATTGAGGGGTCGCAGTACTTCCAGTCGTACGGGGTGGTGAACTTGGGGTCGCTCTCGTCGTAGAGGTGGCACTGGAAGCCCAGGCGGACGCTCTCGTTATCGCCCTCGTGGCCCGCGGCGGGGCCAGAGCCGCTCTCGTCGAACTCGCCCATGGAGAGGTGCTCGGTGCCGAGGTGCCAGTGCACGTTGACGGGGCAGAGGCCCCCCTCGGCGAACGTCTGGTTCCAGGGCTTGCGACCCCCCACGTCCATGCCGCCCACAAAGCCCTCGGTGATGTTGCCGCCGGCCTGCTCCAACGCCTGCACCACACCGTCTGAGAAGCAGGGAAACCTGTCGAAGGCCGGGTCCGTCGGCATCGTGCCCGCGCAGGGGTTGGAGGCGGAGCTGCCGTCGGGCTCGGGCTCGGCAGGGGGCGCCCTCCCGCCGACCGCCGCACGGGCGCTCTGCCGCAGACTCTGCAGCAGGCCCACGTCCTCGTGCTCCGCCTGGCACGCCTCGGGGCCCCCGGGGCATGTCAGATCGGCCAAGGCCATGGCCAGCAGGCACAGCGCCAGTGGGGCGCCGGCCTGGGCGCGAGGTGCAGGCATGGCGGCAGGCACAGCGGGCAGTTCGAGGTGGGAAGCGGGCTTTTCGGGGGCGCGGCTGCAAAGCCGGAGCCAAAAATTGCTTGAGCCAAAATGGCTACGGATGGGGCTATGGGGCTATTGGGCTATAGGGCTGTACGGCCATAGGGCTATAAGATTATAGTGCTATGGAGATATAGGGCGATTGGGCTATTGGGCTATAGGGATATAGGGCTATTAGGCTAGGCACCCCCGGGCACTTCTGGGCACCCCGGGCACCCGGGCACCCCTGGGCACCCGGGCACCCGGGCATCCCCGGGCACCCCGGCCCCCGGCCCCGGCCACCGAAATCGGCCACACACCTGGGCACCCGGGCACACCCGGGCACCCCCGGGCACCTGGGCACCCGGCCCCGGCCACCTGGGCAATCGGCGGCACAGACTACCTAACCCTTTAATCCGCTAGGACCCCTATAGAGGCAAGCTCTGATTGGGGAAAAACTAATAGAAATCGTCCCGACTATTTTCTGACTAGTTTTGAATATTCCTCCTGTAGAGGGACAGGCCCGACTTAACACTACAAAACTACGCTGTGGCTCCAAATCTGGAGCTTGCGCAGGGCATTCTTTTCTCTGAGCTCTCATCTGCTTCGCGCCTCCTCAAGGGGTCACAGCTTGTCCATCGGTGCCGGTGCTTTGAGCTCACTGGAAGAGTCGCCCTTCTCATAGAATGCTCGGCACTTCGGTTCGGGGGGATTCAAGACCCTGAACTCTTTGGGGCCAGGGCCCTAGGCACCTGGGGTTCCTGTTGGTTCCCCGTAGCTGGCGCACCTGGCGCGGCTGGAACACGTGGCACTGTTGGCGCACGTGGAGCATGTGCCGCACCTGGCACGCTTGGGCCTCCAGGGTGCCTGGTGCACCTGGGCCCCGTGGCGCGCATGGCATGTGCGGCGCTCCTGAGCGATCTGTTGACACTCGGGTGTTACTTCTGTGCTCGGAGGGCGGGTAAGAGCGAGCCAGACGGCCTGCTATCTAGGAGGGTAGCTTGACCCCTTCCATACCCCTCCCCCTGGACCTGGACGGGGGGGGAGGCGGGTAGCTAGAGCGTCCCAGATGGCGTCGGCGAGATGGCATAAATCATTGATTTCACTAAGGTCGTTGATTAATTTTGGCCTCCTGGAGAGGGGCTCTAATTGAGCACCCTCCCATTCTTTAATCAAACTCCTCCAAGGTGGCCACAGGATGGCCATCGACGCTCCCACGAGTGCCCCAAGAGGGCCCCAAGAGGCGCTCAGGAGGTCTCAAGAGGCCCCCCAGATGCCCCCCAGAGGCTCCCAAGGGACCCCCGAGAGGCTCCCCCGAGGTACCCAAGACGGTTCAAGAGGCCCCAGGGACAGCCAAGAGACCCCCGAGACGCCCCAACAGGCCTCTAAGAAGCTCTCAGGAAACAGCCGAAGAAACCCCGAGAGGCATCCAAGAGGCCTCTGGCCTGTCTGTTCGCCATCATCCTCTTCCTCTTCCTCATCCGCCAAAATATCGTCCTCGCTCCTCCCTCCTCCCCACTCCAACTCCACCTCCACCTTCTCCTCGTCCTCCTCCTCCTCGTCCTCCTCCTCCTCCTCCTCGTCCTCCTCCTCCTACTCCTGCTCCATCTCCATCCTCATCTTGCATCTTCCGTCCTCCATCCTCCATCACCCATCCTCCATCCTCCATCCTCCTCCTCCTCCTCCCTTTCCTCCTCCTCCATCCTCCACCTCCTCTTCCTCCTCCTCCTCCCTCCTCCTCCTCCTCCTCCTCCTCCTCCTCCTCCTCCTCCTCCTCCTCCTCCTCCTCCTCCTCCGTCTCCTCTGGTTCCTGCTCCATCCTCCCCCTTTTAGGGTATGATGGCTTCCGAGCCTTTCCTCCGCTCTCCCACATGCCTGATCAGAGCAACTCGCTTGGGAATCGTCCTTGGATGGACTGGTGCGCGAAGCGTCTCAAGTAGCAAGTGTTGCTTCCCTCTATCTCTCTATATCTCCCTCTCCTCCTCCCCCTCCTGTGTCTCTTCAGCCGGCACCAGGTTTCATCCAGTTCTGCGCGCTGGACGGCGTATGGCGTAGGAGTGAGGGCGTTTCCTCGATGACTGGCAAAAAGGGGCCCTGGGCAAGACAGACCCTTCGTGCGCGTTTTGCCGAATGTTGCGTGCGATGTCCGCGCAAAAAGTCAAAGAGTCAACATTACATGTACCCGGCTTGTGCCATACTCTGGGGCTCTGGTCGTGATGTTTCACGATGCCTCAGTTCGCCCGTGACTCATGACGTCGCACCTCAGGGCCTGCCCTGCCAGGGGGGCCAAACAGCTATAGCACCAAAACCTCCGAAGTCTGAGTCTGGTCGAGGCTTCCACCAACTCTCATGGCCGACTTGCCGGGTGGACGCCGCTGAAATCTGACCAGAGCACCACACCAGAGGATATATCAACCAAGCATGGCCGCGAGGATTGTTTGAGTGGGATGGATAAAACAACAACTCATAGTCGAGTCTGCAGACCTGGATGGCTACTTCGGAGGGGTCCGAGGGCCTGCGACAGCCTTCGGAGTGTCTGCCGCCGAGAGCCTTCGAGGGCCCCCGGAGGGCTCCGAGGGTATCGGGAGGGCATCTGAGCTAGAATGTTACCGCCGCCACGCGTCGGCGCTCGTCGTTTTCGTCGTCGTCCGTAATCGTCCGCCGCCGACGCCGCCGTCGTCGTCGTCGTCGTCGTCGTCGCCGTCGTCGTCGCCGCCGTCGACGTCAACGTCGTCGTCGTCGTCAGCGTCGTCGTCGTCGTCGCCGCCGTCGTCGCCGTCGTCGTCGTCGTCGTCGTCGTCGTCGTCGTCGTGTCGTCGTCTACGTCGACGTCGTCGTCACAGCTCGATCGTCTTCGGCCTCGCCGGCGCTCGTCGACGTCCGTGGCCGTCGACGACGTCGACTTCGCCGTGCTCGTCGTCGTCGGCGCTCGAAGTCGTCGTCGGCGTCGTCGTGGTGCTCGCCGTCGGAACCGACGGGGCGGGGCCGGAACCCGATGCATGCCGCAGGTGCCGCAACCCCCGCCACAGGGACAGCGGCAGGGCCCGACCGGCTCAGGGGCGGAGACACCGAACTCGAAGCGGCGATGCACCGCCGAAGGATCAGAGATATTGCCCTTTACGTTCCTTGGCGGGGTGTTATGCTGCCCCCAGCGTGCTCAAGGACCACATCCCAGAAACAAGTTCGAGCATCTAGAGAAACAATATCGAAACAGTGTGGGACGAATATCGCCTCCCAAAGCCCCACACGTGCAAACCCTCCAGTCTCGGAACTTTCTTGGTGCTCGAACCTCTTTCTGACGGTCCAGGCTCAAGTAGGCTGGAACATCGTGAGCAGGGTGGGCCATCAGGCTCCGACCGGCAACGCATGGGCCATTGGAGGTCGATGCATACACCCCTGAGCGAATGGCTCCCCTGACCTTGCCCCTGGCACCTGACCTCTCTTCCATTTCGTGGAGATCACAACATGGTGCGGCGACACACCGTGCATCTCGCCGCACGGCCTTCACCGCACGACTTTGGGACCCTGGACGCCCTAGTCGACCCTAATCCTTGGAGAGCGACCCGAGTCCCAATACCGTGCGGTCATCCCGAATCGCCCCGAGTTCGCCCCACCCCCGCCCATCCCCTCCCTCCCCCTCAGTCTCCCCCCTCTCTGACTGCCTCTCTCGGCCGCTGGGCTTCTGCGCTGGGTAAAACGCGTGGTGACTTGGAGGCGGCCAGGGTGTCTGAGCTGGACCCCAGAAAACCCGTCACGAGGGAAGGATGAATGGCAGATTCACTGACAGTCGGTTCCTGGTTTTTGACAGCCCTGGGGCCCGAAAAAACATCCCCCGGAGGCCGAGAGCGGCAACAAAAACCCTCCTCGGGCCCAGAACCTCGAACCTCGCCCCGCTCTCCCTGCTCGCCAGAAGCAGTGCTGGGCCACCTCCGAACTGAGGGGCGACGACGAGAGGGGGACTGGCAGATTGGGGGCACAGCGACCTGGCCAGCCGACGTCTGCAGAGGCCAGCCCCGTCCCCTCCGACAGCTTCGCCCTGCCTCACCGCATGGGTCGAGGCAGTGCTGCCCTCCGTGGCCGCCTCTCGGGCCGGCGGGGGCCTCCTCCAGGGCCCCGTGGAGACCGCCCCTCCCTCCTCGACCGCAGGAGACCAGAGCAGCTGCACCAGAAGTCCACAAACACGACATGAGTGAGCGGCCAGGCCAATCCTGGGAAGAGAAGGAGGAGGAGGAGGAGGAGGAGGAGGAGGAGGAGGAGGAGGAGGAGGAGGAGGAGGAGGAGGAGGAGGAGGGGGATGGGGGAGGGGGAGGGGGAGGAGATGAAGGAGGGGAACAAGCAACGGCATGCGCATGCCTTCTCTGATCGCGCGCATGTCTTGCATCGGCATGACCCCCCCTGACGCGTGCAACACGCCAGGGGAGCCGAACGCCGATGCAAGAAACCCGCGCAGACCTCACGACGTCTATGCTCATCCAGGTGCTGTTCCCTCGATCATATCCCTCCAAAGCCTCCTCTTATGCTGCTCCCATCGCAATTGAAGACCACATCCAAGAAATACTTCTGAGCACCCAGAAACAGCATCGACAAAGTGTCGAACGAGTATCGCCTCCCAGGGCCCGACACGTGAAGAACCCTCCAGCATCGGTACTTTCGTGGTGCTCAAAATGCTTCCTGGTGATCGAGGCTAAAGTAAGTCGGAACACCGTAAGCCTCCTCATGCTGTTCCTCCTCTCGCAGGTGCCTTGCGCAGATCTCTCAGGTGATCCACCGAGTAGATCGCCACGCTTTCGCCCACGGCGGCCCAGAAGGGGCGCTGGTCGAAAGCAATGCCCATCTCGAGCTGCATGAAGGGGACCAGGCTGGCAAGGCTCAGTGCCATCCTTGGGGACAGCCAAGTGCACTTTTACAAAGACGTGTCAAGTATCCGAGAACGCTGTATGTAAGCACACGGTCAAATAATGGATGGGCCAAACCCGGCGAAATTCGAGCATACAATGTGTATCACAAATCCCATGGAACCACCTTACAATAATACGGCAACTGGGTGGGGTCTGGGTAGATTCCGTTTACGATGTGC